AATTTTCATCGCGCCGTATAGATTTGAACCCGCTGAATTACATGAGTTGAAGATTCAACTACAAGAACTTTTAAATAAGGGCTTCATTCGCCCTAGTACATCACCTTGGGAAGTGCCGGCTCTCTTTGCAAAGAAGAAGGATGGGTCGTTGCGGTTGTGTATTGATTACCACAAGTTGAATTGAGTTACCGTTAAGAACAAGTATCCTCTACCCAGAATAGATGATTTATTCGACCAAGTTAGAGGGTCTCGCTACTTCTCGTAGATAGATTTGAGGTCCGGGTACTATCAGTTGAGAGTCTGAGAGGAGGACATCCAGAAAATGACCTTTCACACGTGTTATGGCCACTATGAGTTCCTTGTAAAGCCTTTTGGTTTGACCAATGCACCTGTTACCTTCATGCATTTGATGAACCAATTTTTTCTAGAATTCTTAGACCACTTCGTGGTCTTCTTTGTGGACGACATCTTGATTTATTCTGCCTCTGAGGAACACGAAGCTCACTTGCGGACAGTGTTTGATTTACTTAAGGAGCGCCGATTGTATGCCAAATTTGAGAAATACGAATTTTGGTTAACCGAGGTGAAATTTTTAGGGCATGTAATGTCGAGAGAAGGAGTAACTATAGATTCTTCGAAGATAGATACCGTACAGGATTGGGAACAACCAAAAAATATTTTTTGAGATCCGGAGTTTCTTAGGATTAGCCGGGTATTATCGATGTTTTGTAAGAGACTTCTCTAGACTAGCCTCACCTTTGACTAGATTGACAAGGAAGGGTGTCAAATTTGTGTGGAATGAAGCTTGTGAAAAGTCATTCCAAGAACTTAAGACTAGATTAACTACCACACCGGTCTTGATAATTCCGGAAAGAGGTTTGGGTTACACCGTTTATTGTGAGGCATCCCGAGATAGGCTTGGTTGTGTCTTGATGCAAGAGAGAAAGGTTGTGGCCTATGGTTCACGACAATTGAAAGCTTATGAGAAAAACTACCCCACCTATGATTTAGTATTAGCGGTGGTAATTTTTGCCTTGAAAATTTGGAGGCACTACTTGTATGGTGAAAAGTTTGAAGTTTTCTCCGATCATAAGAGCCTAAAGTATTTATGCCAAAGGAGGAGTCAATTCATGATAGAATTTCCAATGGGAAGGAAGAGAAGGGTTTGAACATCCACTCGGATCTGAGTGTACGTTTTCTAGACCGTTTGGTTGCACCAAAATCAAATGATGTTTTCTTGGGCATTAACGGTATTATTTTGCTTAATGTATCTATTGGAATAAAACCGACACGATTAGAAATGGACCTTGAGAGATTACCAGATGTGATTGTAATATGAAAACTAGTGTAGTTGTTCATATTTGATAAAATGTGGAATATGATTTCTTTCTAAATGTTGGGAATCATGGGAGATTCCAGGTTATGGTTATATGTTGGATTGTATGTCCATGTTGTTATCTTTTAATTAATATATTAGAGATAACTATTTTGGCTATCGGTGAAAATTTACCATGTTGCATTTAAATGAAGGATTTCTCGGAAGGATGAGAAATGATGGAACTTTGGAAGTTTGATATATAATATGTTATAAATTTATCTTGAAATGACTAAATTGAGATTAACATTGAAAACGTGAAATTGGAAGGTTGTGATTATAAATGGTGATTTTGGATATGTATTATCTCACTTATGAAAGTTTTGAATAAACGATTTATTTTGATATTGAATATCTCTTTAGAAATAATTGCATTGGGCTATCGGCGGGGGATAACTATGATTGTTGTAGAAATTACATGAATATTAGGCGATTTGATGCTAATCCATTGTTGGTGTCATTGAATATGACCATGTTATAGATGCATTGTATATGTATGTTTATTGGGAGGAGAAAGGGGATGTACTCCATATGTGATTATGTTTATAAATACATTGCATATGTATATTTGTTTGGGAGGAGAAAGGGGATGGACTCCCTTTAAAGCAAGTTGGCCGAAGTGTCCTAGGTGAAAGACCCGAAATTTTATATATAAATGGATGCCGATTCCTTCGGATGAAATATCCGTAAAATGGCAGCCTTGAAGTGTTCATGTGAGTTTTGCATAAGTGGAAAATCATTAAGTTGTAATCTCATTTTTGTTGTTGAAAGATAATGAATTTAACTCATGAATTAAGTAGCATATATGAACTGGAAATGAATTGGTAGTACTTGTATAGTCTACTTGCAGACACCGGCCTATGGATTACCTGAGTCGTATTTACCACCTTGGAATTTTATTAAAATTGTTGGATTAATGTGTTTTCAAATTAGCATTGTGCATAAGATTTTCAAAAGATGAGAAAATATTTTAGCATGACATGGCATATGCATTCATCTCATAAGACTATATAAAATGTATTTAATGCTTTGTTAGATGTCATTGTGAATTGTTTAATTATTTGATTCAATTGACAAATGGGTAATTGAAAGAATTGAAAATGATGTCATGTTGCATTTGAGGCATGCTTATTTATTTAAGTTAACTAATTGTGGTTAATTAAATAAATTGGATTTAAGAGTTTATGTAATAGAATCATTTGGTTTTGACATGATATGATTTCACATATATGTAGGAGTATCTTTGTACCCGTATATCTTTTAATGTTTTAATATGAGATTGTTCGATGAGCTTGCTCACCCCCTGCCTGTACATGTGTACAGGGAATACTTTTCGGATTTGAAGATCAAACAATGGGTTTTACCATTTCATAAGTATAATGTAGTGATGGATTGTACTACTTTATTTGTTGTTTGGCTGAGTGTTATTTTTTTGTAAAGAGTAGTATCCCCTCTTTTATTGTAAGCCTTAGGACATTACTTTTATTTGTATGCAAATGTTATTGTTGTATAATGAGAGGGAATATGTATATTTAATTTTTCATCATTTCATCCAAGGATAAAATATTATTTGTAAATGGACTTAATTAATGAATATTGGTAATGTTATCCATGTGATAAAATACGGGGCATTACATAGATTGCTACTACCAGAAAGTTATTGTATGTACCTCGAGCGGTGATTGCTTTTATTTCTTGGGGAACCGGGTGGATAAAGTCTTATCACCGGTATATGATCTGCGTGGGCGGAGTGAACTTAATTGTTTTCTTGCTAGCTTTCTAAATAGTGAGTGTGATGAGATTCAGGTTGAGTTGCCGAGAGTAGTTTGTGAATACCCAGATGTCTTTCCCGAGGATCTTGTTAGTTTACCGTCTCACCGAGAAATCGAGTTCTCTATTGATTTAGTGCTTGGCACCTCACGGTTTCTATGGCTCCATATAGATTTGCACTTGCTGAATTGAGTGAGTTGAAGATTCAACTCTCGGAATTGTTAGATAAGGGTTTTATTTGCCGTAGTACTTCACCTTGGGGAGCGCCGGCTCTTTTTGCTAAAAAGAAAGATGGAGCATTACGGCTTTGTATTGATTACAGGAAGTTGAACCGGGTGACTGTTAAAAATAAGTACACAATGCCTCGTATAGATGATCTATTTGATCAGTTGAAAGGGTCTTGTTATTTCTCTAAGATAGACCTGAGATCGGGTTATCATCAGTTGAGGGTAAGGGAGGAGGATATCCCGAAGACGACATTCCGTACGCGGTATGACCATTACGAGTTTCTTGTGATGTCTTTTGGGCTAACCAATGCACCTGCGGTGTTTATGGATCGAATGAATTGGATTTTTTGTGAGTTCTTAGATCATTTTGTGGCTGTCTTTGTGGACAACATTTTGATTTATTCACCTTCTGAGGAGGAACACGAGGAACATTTACGAGTAGTACTTGAGTTACTTAGAGCCCATAAGCTGTATGCTAAGTTTAGGAAATGTTACTTTTGGTTGGAAAAGGTTAAATTCCTAGGGCATGTAGTGTCAAGGGAAGGGGTGACTATAGATTCATCCAAGATAGAGGCAGTGCAAGATTGGGCACAACCTAAGAATGCTTTCGAGATTCGTAGTTTCTCGAGGTTGGCCGGGTATTACCGTCGGTTTGTAAAGGATTTCTCTAGACTTGCTTCACCTTTGACTAAGTTGACGAGAAAAGAAGTCAAGTTTGTATGGAGTGAGACTTGTGAAAAGTCGTTCCAAGAGCTCAAGGTTAGACTCACCACTGCTCTAGTATTGATTATTCTGGAGAGGGGTTTGAGTTATTCTGTATATTGTGATGCTTCAAGGGAAGGTTTAGGTTGTGTATTGATACAAGAGAGTAATTTTTTGCAACAAAAATTGACAAATTGATTCAAGAGAGTAATTCAAGGGAAGGTTTAGGTTGTGTATTGATGCAAGAGAGCAATTCAAGGGAAGGTTTAGGTTGTGACAAAAATTGATTCCTAAATATTTTTTGCAACAAATGTTTATACTTTTGAGGACAAATATTTAATTCTTAAAAACTTTATATATTGCCTCGAATTATGAATTCGAATTTAAATTTCAGCTCATTCGATTAATAATGATCTTGACACACTTGAATGTTTTATGCGGAAGGCAAAAAATTGAAGCACCATCAAGTTGTTGAGTATTTTCCATGTCTGTAATTAAGCCTTTCATTTATTGAAAATTTGCAACAGTTAAATATATATATATTTTCACTCTTCATTTCATCCCCAACAAAACAAACATAAACGGAAAAAGTATCGTATGGGGCTAGCGCTCTAAGTATCTCCAACATTCATCATGTCGAGTCTACAGAAGAGGGGTTATAATGTATATAATAATGCAATTTTTTTTATTTTCATTGGAGGTTTTATCTGTGTTTGAGTTTAACATTTAAAGAGTCAAGTTTGAGCATGTTCAATCATATATTCTAATTGAATTCGAGTTTGATTAATAAACAAACCAAGCTTATATATAATCCTACTTAATTGCATTTGTTTGCAATTCTAAGCGTAACTATTAGGTTTATTTCACGAACTATTATTATATATGTATGACAAATGAGTTGGCATGAGAAAATTGTTTGAATGCAGTGGATCCTACACAACTGGAGTGATGAAGATTATGTCCAAATATTGAGAAACTGCAGAAAAGCAATACCAGAGAAAACTGGAAAGATTGTTATAGTTGATACGATTTTGCAACCTGGTGGCGATGACCTATTTGACAACACAGGCATGGCAATGGACCTAATGATGCTCACATTGGTTAGAGGTGGAAAGGAGAGGACTAAGCTTGAATGGAAAAAGATACTAAATGAAGGAGGATTTGTGCGCTACAACATCATCCAAATTCCAGCTTTACAGTCAATTATCAAGGCATATCCACCGAAACTAGCAACTGATGTGCTTCAAATACAATAGTGAGTTAGGAACAATAACAAATGTGCCAACAAACATACATATTAGGTAAAATATTAACCGACATGTTATATTTACTGGCATCTTTGTTAGTATTCTTCGTATTATTGTCCCTAGATAATAAGTGTTCCAACCCAAACTAAATCCTATTATCTCTTCTAATATGTTTTAGCAAGTTTCCATCATTGATCTAATAAGGGTTGAGGGAAGAAGTACTTCCATTTGTATGGTTTACACGTAAGAATATATATATATATATACACTATGCCAAATAGTTCATTCGAGGTAACTAAAAAGGGTCCCTTAAATGTAAAATTATGTGCATTTAGATTACTCTTATATTTCTTTAAATAATAATTAGGAAATGTATCCTAGACTGAATCTTTTGGACCCAATTCAAGAGCAAAAACATAAAGATCACAATCTAAGACTCTGATAAACATGAATTTTGATTGCAATGGATCTTTCGTTGACATTGGCGGTGGCACATGGGCTTCCATCGCATCTAAATATGTAAAATGTGCTATACTTATGAATAGATATGTAAGATATATACATATATATATATATACATATATTATAAATTAGTCAAGTTACAACGGTAGTTTTGTATTTTTGTCTTTGTGTTATATTAAATCATGTAATTTGAATTGGTTCAATTTTGACTTTGAATTGTGACTTTGTATTAATTTAATCCAATTGATTACAACTCTTATGTTGTGTTTGGTTGAGGGATTTGGGAAGAGATTTGGAAAGAAAAATGAAAAGTTATGTAAAACTAAGTGAAATGTAAATATATTTCATTCACATTTCACCTAAATTTTCTCTTTTTTTAAAAAAAATCCCTTTTCAAATCTCCTAACCAAATACAACGTTAGTATTTTTTATAGAAAATATGAACACAAGTGTCATGTATCAAAATTTTAAGGGTAAAATTATAAATTTACTTAAAAATCACTAATGATATTATCAATTGTATTAAATTGACATAAAATTTAAAACAAATGTCAAAATTAAGTCAAATAAAAGTGTAAAGACCAAAATGACAAAATGTGAAATATAGGATTATAAATGTAAGGGACATTTACACGCAAATTCTAATTTATGAACTCATGCTCCATTAAGTACTAACTAAGATTTTTGAACCTTCAAGTCACATTCAATTTTTAATAGTCGGAATTGCCTTTCAAACAAGGATTGCTCATCATTTATGATTATCTATAAAGGAAAGGAATATGATGATTTGACATTTATTTTCATTTTCAAAACTTTAAAACATCAACTTTCAAATTGAAAAAATTAAAAATATGTGTGTGTGTGTGTGCGCGCGCGCAATAAAAAAATCATGGTTTTTTTTTTTTTTTAAAAAAATTGAACAAACTATTTTTTTTTGTGTGTACAAAACTGAAAATTTTGTGTCTATAAAGGAGTATAATAATGGAACATTAACATGCAAAACTGGAACCAAAAAAAAAAAAACGCGCGCGCGCGCAATAAAAAAATCATGGTTTTTTTTTTTTTTTAAAAAAATTGAACAAACTATTTTTTTTTGTGTGTACAAAACTGAAAATTTTGTGTCTATAAAGGAGTATAATAATGGAACATTAACATACAAAACTGGAACCCAAAAAAAAAATTGAAAATGAAAAAACTAATAATGTTCTCGATTTTATTCGGTAGTTGAATCAAACCAATAAGTAGAAGGGCAAAAACATTTGATCTCATGCTCTCTCTTTTTTTCATCAGTTAGTGAAATAATTATCTGAAACATTATTATGCAAAATTAATAATGTTCTTAGTTTTAATAATTATAAAAAAAAACTAATAATATTATCAATTTTACTAAATATGACTTATTGGTTCAAAAAATCTTATATAAGAACATTATGTCACTGAGTTTTTTTGTTATTTTGGCACCAAATGAGGTTATAGATAAAAATTTAGGAATAAAATCACTTTTTGAATAACGAAATATTTTAGTTGTTAAAATGACATTATTGGTTTTTTAGCAATAAAATTGGACATTTAATAATCAATTACTATCCTTTTGATCAAAGTTTAGCTCAAAATGTAAATTATTTCGGCACGAAGTTGTTTTTGTCCTATAAGTGTATTTAATAGTGACATTTTTAAATTTATGTTGCTAAAAGTTTTTCTTTGTTTAATTGTTTGGAACGACCTTTTAATGACGACCTTAACAATGACAAGAATTGATTTTCTAAATATTTTTTGCAACAAATTTTTATATTTTTTAGGATAAATATTTAATTCTTAAAACCTTTATATATTGCCGTGAATTATGAATTCGAATTTAAATTTCAGCTCATTCGATTAACAATGAGCTTGACACACATGAATGTTTTATGCAAAAAGCAAAAAATTGAAGCACCAGCAAATTGTTGAGTATATCCCATATCTATAATTAATCCTTTCATTTAATGAAAATCTGCAACAGTTAAATATAGATTTTCACTCTTCACTTCATCCCCAACAAAACAGACATAAATAGAAAATGTATCGTATGAAGCTAGCGCTCTAAGTATCTACCTCCGAAATTCATCTTTTCAAGCCTACAGAAAAGGGGTTATAATGCATACAATAACGCTATTTTTTTTATTTTCATTGGAGGTTTGAGTTGTGTTTGAGTTTAATATTTAAAAAGTCAAGTTTAAGTTTGAGTGTAAAAATGGTCCGTGGCTCGTGGGCTGCCCGAAAGCCTCTCGTGGCTCGGGGTGGGTCCGGCCCTGTTAGGCCCAGGCCCAAGCCCAGCCCAGGACCCTAGACCTGGGCCTAGGCTATCATTTTGAAGCTCGTGGGCCAAAACTGTGGCCCGGCCCATTGGCTCACTCAAGTCCCACTCAAAACCTAGCTTGAGGCCAATGTCATTTTTTGTGGAAAAAATAAAATTTTGGCCAAAAAAATGTTCAAACCTTGCCTAAACCTGGCCCGCCCAAGACCCAAATACCCCTAGGCTTAGACCTAATTTTCTGGTCCGTGGGCTGGGCCAGGCCAGCCTACCCAAATTTTGGCAAGAGCCCGCAAGGCCCGACATTTAAATTATTTCAAGCCCAGGAGTGGGAATATCGGCTTATTCAAATTATTCGGCTAAAAGCAGTGAATAGTTTCTTTAGCAAGCTGTTGAGTGGCATGATCTAATTGGCATCATTGACGAAGATCAGCAACACCTGCTAACAAAGCCCCATTTTCTAATAAAAAAAAAAACGTAAAAATGAAAGACAACTGAAGTAACAAAAAGAAATAGAAAGAGAAGTCGAGTAAGAATGATGACCACACTGATGGAAAGGAATGAGAGGTTGGCAGAAAACATAATTTGGGAGCTTGAGAAACAATCTCAAAGTCAAGTGGTTGGTCCAGTTGGGGGGGGTAATGTAGTTCAGACAAATGACGTCACCTCTTCAACAACACAAAAAACATAACAGGTAACTCAGTCAAAAGCTTTCCTTAACTTGGGCTCTTCAAATAATGATGGACTGGATAAAGAATTTCAACCTCCGTCAGGAAACAAGAAACAGTCACCTCACAATTCCCGGAAGTCCAGTCAAAATCACCTCTCAATTCCAAGCCGGGCCAAATTTACACCCCTATTTAAGCATGTTCAATCATATATTCTAGCCGAATTTGAGTTTGATTAATAAACAGACCCAAGTTACATATAATCCTGCTTAACTAGATTTGTTTGCAATTCTAAGCGTAACTATTAGGTTTATTTCATGAACTATTGTTATATATGTATGACAAATGAGTTGGCATGAGAAAATTGTTTGAATGTAGTTGATCTTACATGACTGTAGTGATGAAAATTGTGTCAAGATATTAAGAAACTGCAGAAAAGCAATACCAGAGAAAACTAGAAAGATTATTATAGTTGATACGGTTTTGCAGCCTGGTGGCAATGGCCTATTTGACAACATAGGCATGGCAATGGACCTAGTGATGCTTTGTTTGGAGGTGGGGATGAGAGGACTGAGCTTGAATGGAAAAAGATACTAAATAAAGGAGGATTCATGCACTACAACATCATCAAAATTCCAGCTTTACAGTCAATTATCGAGGCATATCCACAGTAACTGGCAACTAATGTGCTTCAAATTCAATAATGAGTTAGGAACAATAACAAATGTACCAACAAACATACAGATTAGGCAGACTATTAAATGGACCTCACACAAGCTGTAGAGCCGACATGTTGTATTTACTGGTATCTTTGTTAGTGTTCCTAATATTATTGTCCCTAAATAATAAGTGTTCCAGCCCAAACTATTTCTTATTATCTGTTCTAATATGTTTTAGCAAGCTTCCATTGCTTGGTCTAATGGTGGTTGAGAAAACAACTACTTACATTTGTATGATTTACATGTAAGAATATATATATATATATATATATGCCAAATAGTTCATTCAAGGTAACTAAAATGGGTCTCTTAAGGGCTGGTTTGGCAACTCAATATTTTAGCCTAAAAGTCAAAAAGTCATTAAGAAAACTAAAAAGCCAACAATATATACTAAAAAGTTAAAAATTTCATTTTCTCTGTATTTTTTGCACATTTTTTCGTAAAAATTAAAAAGTCATAATTTCAAACATACTAATTTTTTTAACTCATATTTTAGCTAAAAAACTGAAATATTACTAAAATAATCTACTTCCAAATGAGGCTGTTACTCTTATTTTTCTTAATAATAACTAGGAATTATATCCTAGACATGGTCTTTTGGACCCAACTCAAGAGCATAAACATAAAGATCATGATCAAAGATTGTGATAAACATGGGTTTTGATTGCAATGGATCTTTAGCTGACGTTGGCGGTGACACAAGGGCTTCCATCGCATTATATGTAAAATGTATTATGTGTATGAAAATATGTAAGATATATATTATAAATTTAAACATTAAAATATATGTTGCTAAATCAAATCCATGCTGAAAGACATTTTAATGAATATTCTGGAAGTCTACTCATCGAGAACCATCCCGAAGATCTA